TGACCTCTGACCTTTGACCTGTATCTACAGCACTGACCTCTGACTTTCAGCTCCACTTGTTTCTTCAGCTGGATGTTTCCCTCCCTGCTGTAGACGGTGCAGGTGTAGGTGTAGTGATCCCAGTCTGTGGGGTGTTTCAGGGTCAGACTGAGGTCTCCAGTTTTCAGCAGGTCTTTGTTCATCTTCGTTCGGTCTCTGTAAAACTGGTCCTGTTCTTTAAACTGGTCAGAGCCGTTCTCATACACGTGGACCTTCCTGGTTCGGATGTAAATACAAGTCCACTCCACTTTAGCATCTCCAGGCAGGCGATGTCTGGTTTTGCAGGGCAGCTGGACAGACTCCACCCCATCCTTCACCTCTACACAGGGGACTGAGAGGACAACAAAGCACAATGAGTTGTACAGCTAGTGCAGCAGCGTGAGGTTAAACCTTTTCAGTGAAAACATGTTTGACCAATTCGACTCTGAAATATGTTCCTTTGCTCCACAGTACAGAGTACAGTACAGTGGTGTCTGTCCAATCAGCAGCAGAGCGGACTCTTTACCAGAATCTTTTTTTGCCAAATGTACAGAATCAAATCCTTTGTTTGTTTCTGCAGAGTAAAGTTTTTATTTTCATCTTTCAAGGTTTATATTATTTCTTAGAATCTTTCAAAGAAACTGTAGAAGTTACTAGACTATGATTCAACTACACACACAGCTGGTCACTCGATCTGCTCTCTGAATGCTCAGCTTGTGCTCAAAATGAACTTAAAGAAACGTCTGTTGTGGTTGTTAGGTCTGCACTCGCAGGCCTCGCTAGCTCAGAGACTTATCCCGATGAACAAAGCAAGACAATCAGACCTCGATCGGTTTTTACTTGCGCGAGTGTGGTAATCTCAGAGCTGCAAGCTCTGCACCCAAACTCAGTCAACTTCAACTCCAGCCTCTCCTCGCAGCCTTTTATTAAGTGAGTACTTGTAAAATGATGTGTTGTAAGAGCTAAGGCACTGTGTGTGTGTAAATGGTCGTGCGAGTATGGAATTGAATGTGTGTGCGTACGTGTCTCTGCGTGTGTGTCTGTATACGTGACTTCCTATCGACCATAATATCCTATTAGAGCGATTAGAACATGTTGTAGGTATTACAGGTACTGAAGTGGTTTGTATCATATCTATCTAATAGACTAAAGGAAAAAAAGCTTTGTAACTATCCCAACTAGTGAGGACTGTGTGATTTCTACAACACTGCTTTCCTCCCCGACGTCTGCAAAGCCATTTAAAAGCCCCTTTGAGGTCCCTGTGTAATCACATAAACCCCAGCTGCAGCAAAAACCTTCAGGCCGTGGCACAAACATTAAAAGCAATCAATATTTTAACATTTGTGTTAGCTAGTCCAGAGCCTTAGAAAACTGTTTCCTATTTACACAAATGGCTGTTATTCCTAACCAGTTAAATGCTACATTTCTGTCAAACCCCTTGAATTAACCTCCAGAGGCCAAGGCGTCTTTTGATCTCTACATGCTTTATGGGTTTGGCCTGTGTGAGTGAATAAAGGCTGGTGAGTATAAAACCGATCTTTGTAGTAGCAGAAGTATTTCTCTAATATGAGGACAGGGGCTAGATTCTAGAAAATTCAATAAAGTCAGCATTGCTTATCAAAGTATGAATCCGTATTAATTAGCATAATGTCAAAGGTGCAGAAAATGTAAAGTTCCCATATGAGGATGCAGGATCTGGGTCGCAGATCTGGTGGATAAAGTTGAAGGTGTGTACTTCAATAACATCTTGATAGTTTCATTTAAAATCACCTTTGGTGGTTTACAGACAAAGTGTCCAAAAACGTAGGGACCTCCTGTATCTGCAGCTCACTCATAAAACCCTGTTCACCATAGTAACCACAGACACATTATTGATGACAGGCTCTTGTTACCGAACTTCACCATTTTCCTATACTGTAAACCTTTGATCTGTATCTTCAGCTCTGACCTTTGACTTTCAGCTTCACTTGCTTCTTCAGCAGGATGCTTCCCTCCCTGCTGCTGATGGTGCAGGTGTATGTGTCCGTGTCTTTGTCTGTGGGGTACTTCAGAGTCAGACTGAGGTTGGCAACTGTCAGCTGTTTTCTCTTCATCTTGGTTCTGTGTGTATATAACCAGTGTTGTTGTTGTTGAGGCTGGTCAGAGTCACTTTGCTGCACATGGACTATCCTGTTAAAGCTGTCAGTCCACATCACTGTAGCGTCTTCAGGCAGGTGAACTGTGGTTATAAAGGGAAGTTCAACAGACTCCACCCCTGAATCCACCTTCACCTGCGGGACTGAGAG